GCTCCCTAGTAGGTTTTCTACCTTCTAAGTAACATGTATTTCTGCATATCAGGCATTACTTAGAGCACTTAGTAAAAACGGTCTCATTTCTCATAATCCTATGAAATAGGTACTACCATCCCATTTTATAAAAGAGGAAGCTGAGGTTTGAAAAGATCATAGCACCCACAATCATATTGCCAATGAGGGATCAAATCAGAATTCACATAAATGTTCCTTTGATCCAACTCTAAACATCACAGATAAAAATGAGCTAAAGTTACCTAGAAGGTCAATAAAGGGAAATGCAACTAAGGAACTGAGATTAGAATTAACATCAAGATGTAACCAGGGGACTTCTCTGGTGGTTCAATGGTTAAGAATCCACCTTGCAATACATGGGACTTGCGTTTGATCCCTGGTCGGGGAATTAAAATCCCACACAGAGCAACTAAAATCCACGTGCTCCAGAGCCTATATGGAACAACTACTGAGCTTGCCCACTACAACTAAGACCCAAGGCAGCCAAATAAATAAGAATTTTTTTAAAAGAATTTAAAAATTAACAAATAGCATTCAACATCAAGCTGACAATTTATTTCCCTTCAGAGAATAGCAGCTCACATAGTAGAAAGAAAGGTTTATTATTACTGCAAAGACTGTTTCTGAGAGGTTGCAAATTTTAATAATACAGACTTTCACAAGGTTATTACTTTCTGCAGAAAAATAAAACTACTTAAAGCAAGTCCCATTGTAAGAAGATAGTCTGACTTTCTATAAAAACAGTTCTAAAAGCTATTGGTCTTAAAACCTAAGAATAAAGAAAAAAAGAGGAAAGAAGATTGAAATTCAAGAATAGATTTAAAATTAAATGAGCCAATTTCAAGAATACAGAAACAGATTTTTTTTTTAAAGGAACAGTCTATGTATCAAAACATTATTGGCATGAATTTAAGACTATCTTCTGTGCACTTATATTGAGAGAAAATCTGGCAGAAATATTGGAAAGCTAGCTGACTAGGGAAATGGTTGGTACAAGTAAACAACAAATAAAAACCTTCCAATATATCTTAAATTGAACAACTACTCTGAGAACAAAGAAATAAAAAATGAGCTAGTTTAAACTCAAGACTTTCCTGTAATGGGAACATTAACTAATAAGAGCAGGGAACCACACCAAGTGTTTTCTATTCTTTATCATAAATAAACTGCTTTGGCTTAAAGAAACAACAGTTTAAAAGATGAAAATATAAAACTGTTTCAAGTACAATATGCAATCAGAATAAGCCTGAAATTGTTCAGAGAGGCTGATATCATAGAGTGATGAAAAGTAAACAATCACATGAGCATCAGAGATTCAAAGCATTACTCCAAATAAGGCAATTTCTGAGTCAAAGCAAAGCCCTAAGAGAAAGGAGGATGGAATGAGAAAATCATACACAGATTGTGACTGCAATGTCAAAATGGGATGGGAGGCAAGGAGGGGAAAAAAAACTTTTTAAATCAGGAAATAAACAAGTAGAAATAGTAGAGATAAACTATGAAATATTAAGAGAATGACTTTTGCCTAACAATAGTAAAAACTATTGGGACTTCCCTTTCAGTATAGTGGTAAGACCATGCTTCCAATGTAGGAGGTGCAGGTTTGATCCCTGGTTGGGGAACTAAGACCTCACATGTCAAGAGGCACGGCCAAAAAATAAATTTAAAAAAGGAAAGAAAAAAGAAAAACTACTAAGTCATATAGAAAGCATTCTTTAAGAATACAAAGACATGAGGCTTATTTCGTGGGACTTCTAACTCCATCATCAAAACGGAGATGTCTTTGTGGGGAAGGGGCAGTTTGTCTCCATAAAGCAGATCTCAGCAAAGTTTCTCTGGCATCCAGCTGCTGTGACAAACAGTAGCAAGAGAAATCAAAGAGGCGGGCAGCAGTCCAGAGAAGGCTGTTTTTCACTTCATGCCCACCAGCTGATGGCGAGTCTCTACATCCCTAGCTTACCTTTCACCTTCCATCCTCTCACTAAGCACACGAGCTAATCACGCAGCAGAATTCACAGGATGTGTATTTTTAACCCAGAAAGCATGTTTGGCAAGCACACAGAGCTCTCAATGTATTCATACAAGTTTATATGGTAAACCCTGAGGGACATGGAATGTGGAGTTCTGCTTAAACCAAACTTCACGCCTCCATCTCTGAAGAAGAGACTTTGCTAGAACTTTATAGCAAGTTTTACTAACGTTACTTATCCTAGATTTTCTATGATGTATTTTTATACTGAAATTTTACTTCACAGTTCTGGAATTATGCAAAAGGTTATATTTAAATCTGCCCAAAATCCAATCTCTGTGCTGGAGATTAAAAGCTTTTCTCCTACAAGAGAATTAAAAGGAGCACAGTCTGTTTTACCATAAAAGGAAAACAAATTGAAGTGTGTTTTGACTCATTTAATTTCCTCAAAATCACCTTATAAACAGAGAGAGCCAACAATCAAATTGTTCTCTTATGGAGTCATACACATAAACTGAAAAAAACTTGTCAACATGTTTAAAATAGGCATGATAACCCCTACGAAACTAAACTATTTGCTTTCTAATTTTTATTTATTTATTTTTTGCTTTCTAATTTTTAAAACATCAAGTGAATTTACAGGATACAAGCACAGTAAATAATGAAAGCCAGGTTCTTAATATTCACTTTTTAAAAGACTGGAAACAAGAATATAAAAGTATTACTGCTCACAGAATAAATGCTTCTTGTTCAAGACTATAAATCAGTTCAGGATGCCTATTAAAGAAAATAATGGCAAAAAAGGTTACATGTGCTTGTAAAAAAATGATCCAAAATTGTTTCACAAGTTCACTTGAGTAAGATTTTTGCTGAATTTGCTTTGCTCGCATAATACTTATTATGACACAATAATTTCTACAATGGCATCTTGTCATCAAACAATAAAAATGTCAAAACATAATGGAAATGAGAACAAATCAAACCAGAGGTGACCCTTACTATGCCAGCTCCAGCTATCCAAATTTAAGGAGCCAAACAGATTTGGAAAATCTGAGGTACAATGGGCATTCTCATTAATCAAATTCTTGCTACTTGCCACGGAAACTCAGAAACCAAATGGATTCAGATAACAAGCTATACCCCTAACTAGCTGAACTCACAACCCAAACTTCTTATACTTAAGAACTGAGTGGATTCAAATGTCTAGGAATGCTCGTATTTTATTTTTTCTGTTCTTTGGTTCATTCTTTGTCCACAAAAACAGGGTTTTATATTCTCATTTTCCCCTCTATGTACCTACCACATTTAGCATTTTCCCATGCCATTACATACTCTGTGTAAACATAATCTTACTGGCCGATATCCCCATGGAAGAGATAGCTGTAATCCAGAATTTATATAACTTCTGTTCAATCTGAATGTTTATCTCCATAACTATGACTCAATAAAACATATCCAAACATCTTTTTCTTTATTTAAAACGAACACTGCTCTGTGTTAAAACTAAAGTTATACATTTTACACATTTTATAATAATACTTTTTTTTATAATAATACTTTAAATTATTTTTGCCAACTGTAGCTTAGTAAACATTATTTTGATAATTCTCTGCTCTTATTTCTTTAGGTTCAAATATGAATCCCAAAAGTTGAAAATAAAAATAATTTATTTTAAAATGGTCACATGTAACAAAATTAAGTATAAAATCCCCCTAAAGATTTATATTTTAGATCATATATTCTACTTTTAGTTGGTTTCAGGGGGTACCAATTATTTTGCCCAAATCCCAGTGTCAACTGCCTATAAAAGTGGGATTTAGTAATCAGAAGGTAAGAGAAAGATGCACTAATCTTCGCTTCATGAAAAAACTGTTAAAGAACAAAGAAATACGCCATATTTATTAAAAATCTGGCTCAAAGTTGTATTAAGCTTACATTCAATATTATAATCTCTAAAATGGACAAACGCAGTTCTTCTAAAACAATTCAATGAAATTTCACTTTTCCTTAAAGCAACTCTAAGGAGTGTAATATTTGATCTGTTGAATTTGTGCCTGCTATAATTACCAGGTGTGACTCTTACATTCCATGAATGCTCTTCAGATTGGCGATGTGGGAGCAGAGGGTGGGAGAGTAACCATACATGCATGCACACCCATCAACTGAATTCAGAAATATTTGGAAAACCACTCCTTTCAAAGAGAGAGAGCAAACAGGAAGAAAAAAAGGAGTCTGACAAAGTGTGAGTCTGATAGGGAAAAGTATAAATTTCATAAATAAATTTTTACTACACATAGTGACCTTTAATTGTTACTAAGAAACTAAGAGAATAAGACAACTTTGTCATTGTTACAGATTTAAGCAGTCACATGATTTTCACGTAAGAGGGATTTCACAAATTTTTTTGTTCAGAATTCAGGAGAGGTCTAGATCACCTCAAAAGCCAATCAGTCTATCTTTAAAATATTATTAAAATCAGCCTCCTACAACTTCTCCAGGGTAGGCAGTAGTCACACTGAAGGACAATCAATTACTACTACTTCTCTTAGAAAGCTCTTGCTACCCTAATGCCCAAATGAAATCACTATTTTTGTGACATCATTTAATCGTTTAAGAAATTTGTCTAAGAACTCAAAATCCAAAATTGTGATAGGAGTAGAACTTTAGTAAAACAGGTGAACGTTATTATTGTCTCTTAAGCAGCCAGACATTTAGTTCCTTGACATTCTATTTTATTCGCTATTCAATAATGATTTTTAATTAAAAAGTTTGAAACGATCTTTTTTTTTGTGAGGAACATGAAATGCTCACCCTGTGAAAGCAAATGTAAGAGAAATACTTTTCTCACAAGAAAGAAACAGAAACAGTATGTAAAGAATCACTGCTGTCTGAAGACGGCCTTTGTGCACTTCTACCATAACAAACACGTGGAGATTTTCATTTTTCCTCTCATTTTTCAATTTAGACCCTGACTTAATTAAAATCAATGTGAAAAATACTCTGTACTCACTTTGGCATTCTATGAACTGATGAATAAAAGTGCAGTCCCCGCCACTCTTTGAAAGCAAGTGCTCTAATAAAGAAAGAAACACCTTTAAGGATATAGTCTTTGTTGCTGTTTTTGAAAACCAACAGCAAAGGTAGGAAAACCAAACGTTTGTACTAACATGGGTAATTGAATAAGTTAATCAAATTTTACTATATCTAATAGCAGACATATTTTGGAGTTAAATGAGTGAAAACTGTAATTACGTAATCTTAATTTGTACCCGAAATGGTTAGCTTTTAAAGGTGCAGTTTCTATCCAAATAGCTCAAGAACACCATTGTCATATATTGCTTTAGAAAGCTTCTCCCACTTTCAAAATGCATCTTTTTTCCATGTGAGCTTAGTAAATACCATTAATTTAAAAATTTTATATTTCTTACTGAATTGGTTTTCAAATGACTGTTCCCCAACAGTCCCTATTCAAAGTTATTCATCTTAGGTAGGAGGCAAAAAAGTAAATATTTTAAGAATACCATAAAATAATGCCTTAAAGTTGTAAAGAAACTGATACATTATTTTAATTTTTACACTTTCGTTTCACAAGTAGTCTAAGTTGTAAAGAAACTGATACATTATTTTAATTTTTACACTTTCGTTTCACAAGTAGTCTTTCCTCTTGAGTCACTTAATCTATACTTCATATACTATCAAATCACTACATTGTTTACCTCTGCCTAAATGATTAAAAACAATGCCTGTACATTTTAAAATAAGAATCTTGGTAAATGATTTTGCTCAGATCAAATACATTTTTCTCCCAAATATGTAAAGAGAATCAAAACCAAACATAGTCTAATAAAAGTTTCAGCCCTTTTTCTACAGTAAACTTTTAATTACTTTGATTCAAAGAGCCAACTTCTAAATCTGGATAACATCCTTCAAGTACATATTTATATCTTTCAAAACTACCAAACAGACATTGGCAGTTCAAGTGTTAAAAATACATTTCAACATGATGACCATCTTGACGGTGTAGAAGCACAAAAACCTGGCAAGGACAGTGAGTCAGACGTCTCTTCACCTGGCCTCACCTCATCATCTCAACTTTGCTGCAAAGGCAGCTCCGACTCTGATCACCGGACAGCCTCTCCTGACTTCTATACTGACAGCTTTCTTATTTATCATCATTCACCATCAAATCTCTCATTATCCTTTATCTAGCTACATGGTATGCAAATATATATTTTTCTATTTGTTGTTGTTGTTCAGTCACCAAGTCAGGCCAGCTCTTTTATATATATATTTATTTACATATATACACATATTTATTTATATTTATTTATATATATAAAATACACAGTTATATATAGTTTATATAATTGTATAGCTGCATACAGTTATATTATTAATATAGATATAATATAGCCTCAAGAAGAAAAAAAAGCCTAACTGCAATAGAAATTCAAAATTAAAAAAAAATCTAAAGTTAAATTAAAAAAGTACTTCCTATGTAAGCTATGACAACATTTTCAAAATTCAAACTATACAATATCACTGTTAAATATGAAAACTCAGTAAAACTAAATTTTAGCCTAACTAAAGGACTGTACAAAACATATTTGAAACTGAGTTTCAAACTAGCATCACAAGACTTCAGATGAAATTTATGAATGCAGGATAATCTACCATCACATACCAAGCTAAAAATCAAACTTTTTACCTACTCTGATCTTACTATATGATTCTACATTAAAATATCTACTATACTAGTTTAGATAAAATACAAGATTAATATAAAAGATAAATATACATGTGACTTTCACAAAGGTTATTTCCTAAGACACATGGGAGAAAAGTCTTTCAGGTAGTCCATGTAAATGATTTGGATCATGACACTTTTAGTAGTTCATTACTTGAAATCAAACCCGAGGGAATTCACTTTGCTAGGACTATAAAAGATGTCACTGATCATCTATCTAAACCAGGAGTCAGGAAATCAGATACTGAAGTGTGGGGGCAGGAGGTGTGGTGATGGTGTCCTGCGATACTAAAAGAGGGTTGTAGGAATGCAAAGAAAAAGTAGACAGAAACATAATAAGAATCACAAGACAAAATGTGTTTTATTTATACATGGGTTACCTATGTATTTCAATTTTTTACACCTGTGTTGTCCAATACAGCAGCCATTAGCCACATGGGACTACTGAGTCCTTAAAAAAAACGTTGCTAGTTTGAATTGAGATGTGTTGTCAGCATAACTTAAATATCTATAGGCCTCAAAAACTTACTAAGGAATAAAGAATGTGAAATACTCATTTGTAATCATTTAATATTGACTACATATTGAAATAATATTCTAGATACAGTGGGCTAAAGTAAACGTATTATTAAATATATTATTAACAATTTAGCTATTTTTTATTGTATTTTTAATACAGAAATTTTTAAATTATGTATGTAGTACTCAGGATAGTTCTATTAGACAGCACTTTTCTAAATACCATCTAAGATAAATTCAAAATATGCTTACTAGGTAACATTTTAAAAATTATAGTACAAAGTTGTGCTTATAGCAGATACTTTAGATTTAAATAATCTTAAAGATGAGTTTACTGGAGAAGTATTATTAATCTTAACTTCTCCAGACATTTTTGAAATATTCTCTTACAACCAAACTTGGTTCTCCCTCTACTACTTAAAGAGTAATTTTAGTTACAATTATATCTAATAGTACATTATAACTACAGACTTTGACTATTTGAATACTTGATAATTAGTCTCTTACTATATCATAAATGATTCAGAATAGACCCATCTTATCTGTAATCTACTCTGTAACTAAATATGAAGCTTCTGTACTTATCCAGATATTTACTACTCAGTTTCTTTAAAGATATTCTATTAGTTACTCACACACAATTCAATTTAGCACTAACACCTGCAAGGGAAAAATAATCATAGCCAGGAGTACCCTATGGTATCCAAAATATTAATATCTTATTCAATTTTAAATCAAGGAGTTGTCTACAGCTTTTCTCATTTAAATAAATTAGAATTGGCAAAAAATTATAAGCTGTAATTTGACAACTCTAAATAGCATAAAGATGGTTCAGTGTACATAAAAAGATTGTTAACTAAAGAAAAAGAATGCTCCCAGCTTGAATTAACACTAGCTTTATCAACAAATACACACTCAAGTCAAAAGGGTGATGGATTTGAATGAGAAGAGTATATGCCAGAAAGAGAAAAAAGAGTAAAATAACAACAGAAAATATAAATTCACTTAAGAATGAGAAGCTTTCAGAAGATGAAGATAAAGTCTTTTTACATATGTTTACTAAATATACTTTAATAATAATGGTGCAATGAATATAAACTACACCTTTAAAAAGTCTCAAATTGAAACTCAAACTGAAATTTTATAGTGTCAATGTTATTTCACAAAGCATATATAAAATAGTCAAATAACAATGATTGATGAAACTTTTTTTTTAATTTAGAGTTTCAAGATTTATTATACATGGAATATTAGCTCTTGATCTTACACCTCACATATACATGGTTCCTGGAGCCTATTATTCCACTTCCTGATTAAAAACAAACCAACCAAACCAAAACAAACCAAGAAAAGCACCTCCTAACTTTATCAGAGTTTAGATGCCACCCAAGAATTATAAAGATATCCCCTGATACATGGAAAAACTATTTAGTATGAAGTTTTGGGTACTGACCTTGGCATCTTCTATACATAACAACTGAGTTGAGAGGCACATATATTTGTAAACACAGAAAATAATTTTATTCATTTTGTACTCTAAGCATCTAATGCAGGATCTGGCATATAGCTGGTGCTCAGTTAATGCTGGATGAGTGGGGAGGGGAGCACAAATCTTCATGATTGAAGGAATATAAAAACCATTGAGTAGAAAACCCATGTTGCAGTAGGAAAACTAACAGTGGTTATACATTTGTGGCAAGAGATAACCCAAGCTAACCAGAAAGAAGGATCAGATATCAAGAACAAAATAATTTTTCAGATGGTATACATGACTGACTCCCTTTTCTCTGATTGATGAAACAGACAGATAAAGAGAGCAGTTTTGATGACACATCCAAAGACTCACTGGACTTTTTTTTTTTCTTTTCTATTTTTGTTTCTTTTTGGACTTTTAAGTAAACTCTTGGCCAGGAAGGGGGCAGGGCACAAATATTAAAAAACAGGGGCCAATTATCCCCATAAAGCAGTACTTGATAGAAGAAAATGGTGGTACCGTCTTTGAAAATATAGTAGAGGGCAGGGGAAGCTATACTATGTTAGGTAAACCAAAATTAAAATTGAACATTATTAAAATCTTACTATTTCAATAACTGAAATTTCCATACAACAAGGGACATCTAACCACAGCTCACAGAATTAAGAATTACAAAATAAAAGGAAGCTTGATTTTTAAAAGATGGGATTTAACAGTCTATGAACAGCACGCTTTTCACTCCAAACACTTAAAATCTAAAATCCCTGACCTCTCTATCCTGCTTAAATGGTAAAAGGCTATCATGAAAGAAAAACATTTAAGTTTTTTACACTACCTTTTTCTGTGCTCCCATTTATTTTAGGTAAGAAGTCATCAACTTGTATCCCTAGGATTAAGACAGTGTATCATTGCCTGATCAAAGAAAGTATTACTTTAAAACTGGTCTCAAGTGTAACCATGGCATTTTGTATTCCTAGTGACATTAAGACTGACTGAACAGTTTAAATTTATTTTTACAAGAAGGGTTCAGCTTGCCATTTTCTATCATCTTAAGAGAAAAAGCTACAACTGCTTAGTAACCTTTCGATGAACCTCAAAAGAAAAAGGATTCTGCTGTTCATGTATTTTTCTTATTTAAATACCTCTAAGCAGACCATCTCAGATGTATAAATTTCATTTATTTCAAAGACTACACAATGGTGCCCACTGGTGGCAATCAAGCATATTTTTAAAGGAAATTTTCTGAAAGAGGGTAGATACTTTACACCTAATATGTAAAACATCCCTCTTAAAGAAAGCAAGTACACAATGTGAATAGCAAACAAAAATTTAATGATAAAAATTCAGCTTTAAGTAAGAAATTTGGTGACACCTACCTAAGCTGCTGCATTCTTTAAGAGTTTTCTCTTGAAGATGTTCTAACCGTACTGTAAATAAAAGCCCAAGAAAAAGGTATTTCACAGATAAAAAGAAAGAAAAAATCAAATCAAATCAATTTCTGGATTAGCTAACTTACCTTGTAAAGCTGTTAGCCTTTCATTGGTAAAGTCATTATCAGCTTGCAAAGCTTCTATTTTTGCCTGAAGCTCCTGTTCTTTTTCTTCCATTTCATCTATCTTATGTTGTAATTCTTTTTTCTCAGCTTGTCCCTTCTGTTGGATTTCTTCTTGTTTTCCCTCTGCTATCTGTTGAAAATGAAAAAGAAAATCCAGCTATTTAATAAAATCTGACCTTGTTTTAAGATGTCTAAAGCAGGACTCCTTGTATTCACATAAATGATGTCAAAAGTGATATGCACTGTGTCATCCCTCCGTATCAACTCGGAGAGAAAAACTTGTAGCAAGGAAGCAAACACAATACATACATAGATTATAAGGGTCAAAATGAAAACCACGTTTTTCAAGAGGGAAATATGGTTTTCCTTGAAATTACTATTGTTTCAATTAGTTTGTAAGTTCTACAATGTAGCTTATTCTGAAATTTTAAACAAAATTACTTTTAGCTAAAGGAATCAAGCACTTTTTAAAATAACCTCTTTTTAACAAGTCTAATATTTAAAGCTATATAGGTTAATCATTCACATGAATAGGAGGTATGCTCTGGTCTTCTGTTAACAAATGGGTATCTTCTGGCCACGCAATCTGTGGTGTGAATTACACAAAGACGGGTCTTCACAAACTCAGTTCTAACATTTTACAGGACCAACATAGCATTATGTGTGGTCTGGTCCGTCCTCATCGTAAATATCCTACAGCTGCAGGGAGCGGCAGTCCACGCATAGGCTTTGGCCTCCTGGAAGGAATCACGTGAAGGTTCTCTCTGGGTTTACTCCAGCACTAATTTAGCTGGGCCCTGAATTTGGGACACCTTAGAGAAAAGCAGGTTCTAGTTTTCCAAAAGTCTGAGTATCTTGGGTTTTGCTGACTTATCTATTTACTGTTATATATTTTAAAATGCCTATTATGAACTACTGATTATTTACTTTCATCCAAAGGAAATATGTCAGCTTTTACAAACTTTTAATTATCACTGGTAATGGGATTTGGGTTAAATGACAACTGATTTATACTATATATTCAAACCATTACCAAATTTTCTATCAACAACTATTCAGCAATATCTAAATTCTTACTATTCAGCATGTTAGGGATTAATTTATATAGTTCCAGTTTGATAAATACATACCTTTAATTTATCAGATAAATCTTTAATCTCATTAACTGCTCCATTATATTTATTGGCTAATTCTCTCAATTCTTCCTGAGTCCGTTCATTCATTTCTTTCAGATGGGTACATTCATCTTCAGTATTACTAAGACTTCGCTGTAATTCAAGTTTACAGATAACTGATTTAGAATAAATGCACATTCTAAATTCAATTTATACAAACTAAATCTATGGAGTGTTCTAAATCAGAATCTACTCTTGATTTTACATAAGGTTGAGTTAAATAACAGAAGAATTTCAATCTACTTCAGGTACATGCTAAAACAGAAAATACAAAGAACTTGGAAAAATGAAACGTGGAAGGAGGAGAGGCTGATCCTTCATATAATCACACTTCTTAAAGGTCACGGGGTATGACTTTAGGCCTTGAAAATATTTTAAGCCTATCATTTCTTAAAAGCATATTTAATAATGTGCACACAATCAACAAAATTAGAGGACAATTAGCATTCTTCTTTCTTTGCACATCATATTAATGATCTGACAGTGAATCAGTCACTTTGGGATTGGGCTTATTATAGAGACTGGGCTTCCCTGGTGGCTCAGACGGTAAAGTATCTGCCCGAGATGCGGGAGACCCAGGTTTGATCTTGGGGTTGGGAAGATCCCCTGGAGAAGGAAACAGTAACCCTCTCCAGGCACAATCTTCTTCTTCTTCTTTTATTTTTCAGGCACAATTTTCCTCTCTGGGGGATGGGGAAGGTAAGAGTAGTGGTGGAGCTCTCTGCCTTAAGACCGACTATCTTCAATCAGAAGAAAAACAAAATTATATGAAAGGAGATCAATTCCCTGGCACATATCATGGTCCACTGTGTGGAGGTTGAAATCTAACCAAAATAGAAATAGTAAAATTCCCTGGTTAGGCTTTTATTTCCTTAATCACTGACTAGGGGCGATAAGCACCAGAACTCACGTGGCTACGCTAAGCATTCCTAAAATGAAAACAGCATACTGCTCCTTCCAACCAGGTAAGACAGGAAAAACTTCCTAGCTATATACTAATACCCAAGTTTGAAATGTCTTGAAATGCTAGCACTTTTGGCTAAAAGTGTGAAACCATAGTCTTGGTCAGTATCTATTAAGTTGAAATACCTCAACTTCTGAAAGTTTTCTAACCACATCAATTTTCTCCTGAAGAACCCGCCTCAGGGACTCTTTGGCTGTAGTCTCATAGTTGTGTTTATCCTCCTGTAATGCTATAAGTTCCTTCCGTAAACTATCTTCTGTTTGATTCTAGGATTAAAAAATATTGATAATTATAGTTATTAAGTATCTACCATTTGAAAAAAATAACACATTGTGATATTCTCTGAGTTCTATATTAAGGTACCTCCAAACAGAAATTATGTCAACTCTGTATTAACTGAAGCTGTACACAAAAGTTGCATTAGTAAATTATGCTCTCACAAGCATATTAACTCATACTTTCAACAGAAAAAAGTTAAAGTAAACTGAAAATTTCTCCCAAGTATACAAAATGAATGAACTATTAATACTTGCCATATTCTCTGAAAGCCACAATATTTACACTTAGGGGCAAAAATAATCTCTTAACCTCTAAAGGGTGTCAAGCATTTTAAAACAATAACTAAACCAAAAGGAATAACAGTACCCTGAGGAACTAAGGGAAGAAATGTACAAGATGAGTCTGGACTACCTTGTCTGATATGACAGCAGGAAGCTATTATCCAAGTCTGCTAGGGGGCTACCAGAAGAACTCAGGTGAGAACCTGAAGAAGGTCCCTGAAGAAGGTCTCCCAAAGATGGGAGAACTGAGAATCAATAAGAAAAACAAAACAGGTTTAACCCATGATATATATTTAAATCTCATTTGGAGGAAAAAAATACTTCATTTGTCATTCTTTGGTAGATGAAAAGGAGCCAAAACATGATTTTGAAATGCAGTAAATAAAGGGAGAAAATCACTCATCCTTCCCTTCCTAAAGAAAATGTCCTTTAGGAAAAATAAAATGGTTTATGAGGGGAAGTTTCTCTTTATAGAAGTAATGCATCTAGTAAATGAAGGAAAGATAGAATTACAGTATTACCATTTTTACAAAATAAAAGAATGAATATTGGAAAGAATAATCAAAGATCACTAATATCTCACTACCACTCCAGTATTCTGGCCTGGAGAATTCCATGGACTGTATAAATTTATGGTGTAGAGGAGGAGCAAGAAGGTTTAAGTATCATTCCAGATTGAGGGAAACTGTACAGGGTGAAAGACCCAGTTTCTCAAAAAAATATCAACTATGATGGAAAAAAGAGAATTGTATGTGGGTATTCACTATATACAATTTTTTCTACTTACATATATGTGTGAAATTTCATGTAATGGTAAAAGATTTTAAAAATGGTGAAAATGTATAGATATTTTTTAATGTATTCAAAATAACAGTCAAAGAAATGAAGCTACATAAAAACCAATGCATTTTTCTTTAGGTACTTGAAATGGATACTTACTTTGGAGCATGCTTGCAACTGGTTTCCCATAACCTCTAACCGTGATAAGAGTCTATCTTCATCTATTAAAGCCTGTTAAAGAAAAATGAAATATAAATAAAATCCCAGAGTAGTTAAAAAATAACGTATATCAAAAAGGTTGCTGCTGCCCAAAAAAAAAGGCCTAAAAATCACAAAGTTGACCAACATTCACTTTAAAATGCTAAATGTTCAATATTTGTTCATTAAGAAGTAACTCTGCCTTTGTCTGCTACATAATTTTAGTTTCAGTTTAATAACCATCTAAGGAATATTGAGTTGTGCTTAAATGCTTTATGAATATAAAAGCAACTGGAATACCTGCCAACTGGTATCTGAAGCCTCTTGGGTAATGGCTAGCAGTCTCTGTAGCGTGGCTAACTTCTGTTCCAACATCTGTTCCCGATGTAAGGCCTCCTAATATTATAAATCACAAAAGAAATCCTAATAACCTCAGCACAATTCCTTTGACAAATAATCAATTATTAGCACATTCTGAAAACAACCTTGTCTCACATCCTACAGTGTATCTTGCTTTCAAACCTGATAAGTCTACTTAATATAATATATTTAGCCCACATTATTTTAACCCAGATGATGCAGTGGTAAAGAATCCACCTGCCAAGGCAGAAGCTGCAAGAGACACGGGTTCAATCCCTGGGTCAGGAAGACCCTCTGGAGAAGGAAATGGCAACCCACTCCAGTATCCCTGCCTGGAAAAGCCCATGGTTAGAGGAGCCTGGCAGGCTAGAGTCCACGGAGTTGCAAAGAATAGGACACAACTGAGTGCGCAGAGGCGCACACGCATACACACACACACACACACACACACACACACACACACACGCAGATCATTTTAGCCTATTTGTTGAGCTGTACTGTAAGCAGAGCTGTTAGGGGTGCTCTCGCTGCAACTTCCTCTGTGAAGGGAACAGGTCATCTGTTTTTGTTTCTTTATTTGTAATTCACAAGAATGAGTTTAAAAGAACAAAACCTAGAACAGAAAAATCCAACAAATGATATGTCTGCATTCCGTATATATATACATTTTTTTAAAATGTGTGTGTATATGTGTGTGTGTCTGTGTATCTATACACACAGACACAGAGAGAGAGAAAGAGAGAGAGAGAGAGAGCAGCAGCAGCAGCAAAAATACTTCATAATGGTTTAGCCACATGAGTATGACATCTAAAAAAGAAGTATCTCTTCATTTTTCCTTTAAAATTTTTTATAAGTTATATATATTTTAAAAGACTATTTTATCCTCACAGTCTACTCCACTTTCAGGTGTTCTAAATCTCTCTGTGACCATATAACACTTAGGCACAGTTGAACATGTCAAATATAAGTAAGAGGCCAAGTGTTAATTCAATGTAATTGGGAGTCAGTGAGTTAAATAACTATTTGGCAGCTCCAAAGGAATACTGTTCCAGAGAAAGAAGCTGGCAAGCAAAGCCTTATCTCTAGCTCAATTGTTAACATTCGATAGCTGTTAAGAAGGTCTCCTTTACTGCAAGTCAAGGTGAAAATGCTCACACAGCATTCAATTGTGGTTCTGGCAAAACTTTAAATTTCACTTTCTTCTATTCCTGTCATTATCCAAAGAAGAACATTTACTACCCTAATACCTCTGAGCTACTTCAACTGAGAAGTGTATACTTCAAACATAGCACTTGAGGTTTAAAGCATGCATTTATTGCTGTCCATATCCTTGATAAATAATGATTAGGGAAAATCTGGTCTAATTAGAGTTAGAGGAACTGCTTTTCAATATAACTCTGAAAGTATAGATTAAGGAATCTAATAAAAGTCATACCACCTCAGAACCCACATTAAAATACAGCTTACACTTAAAAGTGACTAGGTGCTAAGTTTATTTTAAGCTTCTAAAACATTCCTAATTCCAGGAAATTGCACTAATGATACAAAAAGTTTTACTTAAAAAAACAACCCCCCTCCCCCCCCCCCAAAAAAAAAACCCCACCAAACAACCACTACTTCCACTAGATGGTGTAATTTAACCTATTTTACTCAATTCCATTTAGTTTCATAACTCCATGAACCACATCCTAACAGATATCTAACACTTCCAGGAATGGCTGATTAGTTCTGAGACATGAAATGTATCTATTTCAGTTTTTATTCAAAAGGTTTACAACTTACATTAGAACTTCAGCAATTCCAAGAGATGTATACAGAAAAGCTGAGCCAGTATAATTTTCTCCCAAAGAATAGAAAAAGAACAGTGAAAGATTATGCCACTATGAATATTCAAAGAACTGACAAGAAGGTAGAAATGAGAATAAGAGCTAGAATGAGAGCATTAGATTCACAGTTGACAATGACTAGTAACTATAGTACATAGCCCTGGGAAATCATTTTACCCAGAGAAGCCCCATATTTCTCATATGAAAAATGAAGGTTAGAACAGATTACTCTAAAAGTTTCTCCTACCTCAAGACAGAGAGAATGAACCTGTAGACACTGAGGGAAGGAGAGGGTCGGATGAACTGAGAGAGCAGCAGTGAAATATATACACTGTCACGTGAAAACAGAGAGCGAGTGGGAAGCTGCCAGGGCCCAGTCTGGTGCTCTGTGACAACCCAGACGACAGGGGTTGGGTGGGTGGGGGGGGGGGTGGCTGGGGTCAGGAGGGAAGCTCAAGAGAGAAGGGTGTATGTATACGTATGGCTGATTCAAGTTGTCGTATAGCAGAAACCAACACAATACTGTAAAGCAATTATCCTCCAAATAAAAATAAAATAACAAGAGAGGTGAGAAAGTGAAAAAAAAAAGGTCTTCTACCTCTAAAAATAAGAGAGAGCTAGGTCAATTAATGTGACTTCCTACTGAATGGTAAACAACTACCAACATTTATAGCATATGTTCTACATGCCAGACATTGTTCTAAGTGCTTTTTATGTTTGTTTTTTTTTTTTCCTTTTGGCCATACCACTTGGCTTAGAGGATCTTAGTTCCCCAACTAGTGATCAAACTCGGGCCCTTAGCAGTGAAAGCACTGAGTTCTAACCACTGGACTCCCAGGGAATTCCCTGTTTTAATTCATTTATTCTTTACAATTTTGTGAGGTAAGTGCTACTATACATATATCATAGATGAGGAAAGTGAGGCGGCACACAAGAGTTAAACAACTTTCTCAACAGGTCCAAAGTTAAAGCCACAGATCAAATCCAGGGAATTCTGGATACAGTCTATGTTCTCTAACCTGAAAGTGTGTGAAACCGCTTTTCAATTCACCACTACATTATGCCCAGGGGAAGACAAGATCTGATTAATACACTGATAATTTTCACATATGTGTACATTTTTAACTGCAGTAGGACTGCTCTTAGTGATTGATCTATAAAAGAATGGAGGGACCCAGGGTCACTGGTTTGGTCTTATCATTTTAAACAAAAGGCAAGTGAAGACATACATATGTAAAATGAATCACCCAAGGTCACAGAACTAATTTAGTCTGCATCAAGATACAAACCTCAATCTCTACACTCCCGATCCGGAGTTTTCCTTAATCATGCTCTCTATGATATGCTCTTCAGATATTAAGAACAGATATTAACAGCATATATAGATATGCTTTACACACACACACACACACACACACACACACACACATGGTTCTATAGGTATAGAACCATAATCCAGTCGAAATCTACCAAAATCAGCAAGAAGAAAAAAAGAAAGAATAATCACTTATATTTTTCTTGAGATTACTATTGCTCTTTAACTAAATTATTAACTTCTTCAGGAGCCCATTCTACAATAAGTATCTGTCCTGCCAAGAAATCTTTCTACAACCTGAGTGGCACAGAACAGTATTTATGGGCAGAGACTCTGAGGTCTGACTTGTCTTTGTTCAAGTTCCAGCTCATTCACATACTAGGTATGTGATATTGTGCAAATTATTTAAACTTCCTGTCCCTCAGTAAGTCCATCTATAAAAATGGGCATAAAATATGTGTTTTATAGGATTTTTGTAAAGATTAGGTGAATTAATATAGGTCAAGTGCTTGACTAGAGTCTGGCATATAGTAAGCGCTATATATTTGCTATTAATAGTTAATATTTTGTGTACTGAATCACTCAGCCATGTCCGACTCTTTGCAACCCCATGGACTGCAGCCCACCAGGCTCCTCTGTCCATGGCGATTCTCCAGACAAGAGTACTAGAGTGGGTTGCCATGCCCTCCTCCAGGGGACCTTTTCACCCCAGCGATCAAACCCAGGTCTCCTGCATTGCAGGCAGATTCTTTACCATCTGAGCCACCAGGGAAATCCAGTTAATATTTTAACGGTTCATATTATTTGCTATTATAGCTATTAATAGCAACCAAAATCTCTCCAGGTTTAATTTTATTTAAAACTCACTTTTGAATAAAGAAACACTGTGGAACTTCTTCATATTTGAAGGAAAAAAACTTCTCTTGTATAGAACCTTATCTTCTCCAGATTTAACAATTCTGACTTTTTAAATCCTATTTTTTTATAAGAACTATTTTTAATTCCTTTTTTTTTTACTTTGAAAAGATATTTCCTTTGTATTTGTATGTAGCCAGTATTTCTTTAGCCCATATTTGCAAACTAGCAAAATCAAATATAAGTTCTGCTTTTAAAGACAAAGAAATCTCAAGATTTACTTTACCTGAAGATACTGAGAAAGCTGGAATAGTTCCTGAGAGTACATACTTGGAGTGTTAGCAGCAACCTAGAAACAAAAGGACATACCATCAATAGTCACACAAAATATCTGCAGAGGATACTAAAGCCAAACCAAGTCCTTAAAATGCCTATTTACTGAAACAAGGAAAATAAGTAATTATTTTTCCAATTTGATTTTTCAAATTGATTTCCTTTAGTTTTCAAAATATGTCTGCTCTGTGTCTAGAACCTATAGATGGTATTGTATTATAGTGATCAGTTTGAGATTTACAACCAGGATGGTATGACAAGTGCTTCCATGAAAACATTCTTTGATAAACCAAATCACAAACTTACAGCACAAAGGCAATATAGCCTTTTCTTTACCCAGAAATAATAACCTGCAAAATCAAAAGATCTACATTTTTTCCTTTAAAATACACTGTTAAATAGTTCTTCTATATGTTAACAAGTTATAATTCACTTAGAATCAGCCATCTTCAAAATGATATTTGTATGTGGGGGGTATGGGGGAGGAAGCAGGACACGAAATACAATACTTTGTCCAATGGCCAGAGGCAATGAAAAATGGTTTTTTTTTTTTCCCTTTTAATGATAGGTAGGTTTTAGGAAGAAAAGGATGGGAAATAATGGTGTTCAAACATTATAAGTCACAGCAGAAATGCTAGAATCCAAGAGTATGGGGAGAAATAACCTCTATAAAGGGTTTCTCCTGGGTGTGGAATACAGAACCACAGCATTATTAAAAAAAAGAAAAAGGCATTAACAGGTTGCTATAACATTTTCAATGCTATCCAAGCCTTGTATATTAACTTACTAGTAATGTTAACAACATCATTCCTTATTAAGCTCAGAAAGTCTATTTTTTAAATTAATATTCTAACTAGAAGACAAAAGGTGACATTATTATTTTTTTAAAGTTAGTCCTAAATAAGCAGGGCCACTATTTACTTCTAAAACGATTCTTGGTATTGATGAAGTTGATGATTAACCATGCTAACTTCTAAAAAAGGAATCTAACAGATAACTTCAGTTTCAGGTAGGCTTTCATTCTTTATCCAAATGGAAAGAAAAAAAAAAAAAAAGGAAAATATTTCTCCCAATAGCTCCACTTTAATGCCAAAAGATACAAATGACTTTTTTTTTTTTTGCTATTTAGCAAGAATATTTACAGTTTAATACACTGTTATTTCTAAACAAAAGAAAAAATCTTTTCCTAATAATTAATTAATGCAAAGCTTCTGTCCAAATCAAGTAAATCCATCTTCAAGGACAATAAAAGAGCAATTTATGTAAGCCTGTACTTCTGTTTTATTTCCACATGTAAGTACATTTTGAGTAAATTATTTAAACACAAAGCTTTAACAAATATTTCTAGGCAGAAATGTATTTCAGAATAAAAAGTAGTAACTAACACTTCTTCTCTATGGCTAACTCTAGTTTAGAGTCAGCCACTAACTGAGATAACAAAGGCTTTTTCCCTAAGAAACATCCACGTACATTCTCTAGTTACTGAAGATCAGACTAGAATAACTACAGCCAAATGCACTCTTACATTTTGTTACAAAAGAGAATTAAGTTTCTAGGTAAAGCATATTTAAAATAAACAAAAACATTTTCAAAAGCAATACAGCTGAATCAGTTTTGAAAAAAATAATCATTAGCAACTTACTTTGTCAACAGGACTTGGTAATGGAGCATGGATGACACTGAAAAGTAAAATTTAGAATTTTTATCTAACTTCCTGACAACAGAGGAAAAGAGTATGACAGTATGAGCATATTTTAAACCCCAAAGTTTTTACACTTTCTTTCATTAAAAGAATGTAAATTATTTGTAATCCTTCATAAATATACAGAATTGTTGGAAAATAAGGTAATAAATACACAAACCTACCTTTTACACATCAATATATTTCTAAACACAAATTCAAAATCCAACATACATTAAATGCCCTTGCTGGATCTACTATTGACGGCTATGATGAATTCTTTGGTTATAAGAACTAAACAGAAAAGAAGCACTCCTTAAACTATCCTTTTTTTTTTAAACTATCCATTTAAAATTTTGTAACATGTAAATTAAGTTCTTTTAAAATTAAGTAGTCCTACAGAGAAAGTCTTTTTTTTTTTCTTGTAAAAAATCATTTTAAATTTATTTAAAAATTTTTTATTCTATTTTTTTCAGCATATCAGCATGCCACTGATGTAAACAAAAGAAAAACACGAATTCATCACAAAAGATAAGGATAGGCACTGAAATACACAACATTAAAGTCAAGAAAATTCTACTTATAGAAAACACACATGGGAAAAATGTTTGCAACACTTTAACCACCAAAAGAGATGGACATATAAATCCCAACAAATTCAGAAAAATGGAGGGGGAGGGGAGAGGACAATTTACAAGTATTTCTAATGTCCAGTTAACACCTGAGAAGAGCTTAACTTCTGCACCATTGGAGGCATCAGTATTAAAACTACAAAGAAGTCGAAAGAGGGCAGATCAGCAAATATGAAAATGTCTCAAATCCTCAACATTCGGGGGGCTGGGCAAATGATATTGGTCTCACTTGCACAGAAAGTTCTCATGCAGCGTCCACGAGGCCGGAACACACACGAACGGCCAGTAGCAATTCTATTGACAGCAGTTCCCACCTGTGCCCCAAATAACTGGGCAGGGATCTTTAGGGCTTCGCGACCCGCGGTGGCCTCACAGTGACACAGAAATGCCCCCTCCCCAGGCTGGATCAAGGGAGGTGCACACAGTAACCAGCTGTGAAGGCCAAGCCATCACACCTTCCTGGTCCGCATGGGCGCCATGTGCAGACTCACAGTGCCCTGGTCCTCTCGGCCCCTCGGGGTCTGCAGGACTTTGCGGGGGCAGATGACCACGAACCTATAAATTCGTGAACCGCTGGGAGCCTAAATCGTCCTCGTCCACAGGGGACACAGAATTCAAGGGAGAGGAGGAGTCGGAAAAGAGATCCTGGGATAACATCACGGCACTGTCAGGAAGCAGAACCGGAAAGGATCTGGGCAGTAGTTCAGGGCGTCGGGGTCCTGAGGCCAGTCCGGGGCGGGGGCCGGGATTGGAGCAACGGGGCCGTACATGTGGACGCCCTGTGCTGGGACCCACGTGGCCTGGCCGCAGCTGGAGACGCCGGGCTCGGGTGCTGGGAGCACCTCAGTGGGACTGGGGGGAGGAGGGTGGCTGTAGAATCCCGGGCCGCCTGGGAAACTGGGGCTCGCAGCTGTGGCAGCAGATTCCAGGGCGGGGGCGGGAGTCCGGGGCGCTCCGGGGTCCGTGGACGCATCGCCGGCCCTCCGGTATCCGCCCTGGGCCTGTCCTCGCTCCAAACGGGAGCGCTGGGCCTGGCGGTTCTTGAACCACACTCATGATGGACTCGGGTTCTTGCATCCTCCTGCTGTTCTGCTGTGGGAGCTTGAGGCTCTGCTCCCACAGAAAGTCTTAAAAAGCAAAGCTCTACTGTAAAGAAGGTTCGAATTTGGAAATATGTTCTAGTGGAGTAAAACTTGAGCAATCAAAACGTAAGTACTATTCTTCTCTTCTCAGCTACCTCACATACTTACAAGTTTATATGTAGTTATGAGGCTAAACTCAGTATATCACTTTGAAATTAAACATTAACACACTATCACTTGGTCCTAATCACCCTTTTTGGCCTTGTATAAAAGAGGCAGTGTAGTAGAGAAGTTAAGCATGGGGCTCAAAAGCCATACTTAATGGGTTCAAATTTTGGCTTTACTTAACCAGGTGTATAATCTTGAGCAAGTTATCTAACCACTATAGGTCTCAGCTTCCTCATCCATAAAAATGGGGATTATCATAAAACTAACCACATAGGATTACTGCTGAGTATTTTAATGTGCTAATATAAATAAAAAGCTTAGAACAGTACCTTGATTTAACAGTACCTTATAATTAGACATAGTAGCACTTGATCACCACTACCACTCCCATGAGAACAGATAAGCTATGGAAGCCAGGGTTCCTTAAAATGCTCTGTAAGATACTGTAATGTGAGTGTGTGTGTGGAAGGGGGTCGTGGGGGTGGGGGGCTGAGAGCAGATGGAGCACAAACCAAGGCTGCCACTCAGGCCCCCTAGCAGTTGTTCCTCACTCCATATCCAAGAGGCTGATCGAGTCACAGTCAGCCTAATGGTTGATTAGGTAAAGTTTTTAGGTTCATCAGGTAAGTTGCTGATGAACTGATCTTGCAGGACTTAAAAATAGGAATGGCAATTCTGATTTCATTGTAGTAACTACAAACCCCTAAGAACAATTTCAATTCAATTAGTCACAGGACACTAAGATGCTGAATAAAATGTAATATTAGGTACTATCACCAACCTCCCTTCTGAGCCCCCATAGTATGCTGTAGAGACTCCCACCAAGAACACATTAATCCCCTGCTCTGCTCCTCTGTGTTCTCAGGCACTCTGAACAATTCACCTCTGCACCTCTAGAAACCACACAAGGCCCTAACAAATGTGGTGCCTACTGAAGGTTTAAAAAGGTATATACAATTTTAGTTTTTCTTCTCTGCCCCATAAAAATGGAACAGATGTTTTAAATGTTAGTTTCTTTTTCTTGATTTTATACAAGTAATACATATTGACTATAGAAAACATGTAAAGCATGAAGAAATAAATAAAAATTACCCAATGCCAAAGCAAAAACAAAATCCAGTTGTGGATGTGACTGGTGACAGGAGCAAGGTCCGACGCTATAAAAAGCAATTGGCATAGGAACCTGGAATATTAGGTCCATGATTCAAGGCAGATTGGAAGTGGTCAAACAGGACATGGCAAGAGTGAACGCCAACACTCTAGCAATCAGCAAACTAAAATGGACTGGAATGGGTGAATTTAACTCAGATGACCATTATATCTATTACTGTGGGCAAGAATCCCTTAGAAGAAATGGAGTAGCCATCATAGTCAACAAAAGAGTCCGAAATGCAGTACTTGGATGCAATCTCAAAAACAACAGAATGATCTCTGTTCATTTCCAAGGCAAACCATTCAATATCACGGTAATCCAAGTCTATGCCCCGACCAGTAACACTGAAGAAGCTGAAGTTGAACAGTTCTATGAAGACCTACAAGACCTTTTAGAACTAACACTCAAAATAGATGTCCTTCTCATTATAGGGGACTGGAACGCAAAAGCAGGAAGTCAAGAAACCCCTGGAGTAACAGGAAAATTGTTGGCCTTGGAGTACAGAATGAAGCAGGGCAAAGGCTAATAGAGTTCTGCCAAGAGCTCTAATGCCAAGGTCATAGCAAACACCCTCTTCCAACAACACAAGAGAAGATTCTACACACGGACATCACCAGATGGTCAACACCAAAATCAGATTGATTATATTCTTTGAAGCCAAAGATGGAGAAACTCTATACAGTCAGCAAAAACAAGACAAGAAGCTGACTGTGGCTCAGACCAGGAACTTCCTATTGCCAAATTCAGACTGAAATTGAAGAAAGTAGGGAAAACCACTGAAGCATTCAGGTATGACCTAAATCAAATCCTTGACGATTATACAGTAGAAGTGAGAAATAGATTTAAGGATCTAGATCTGATAGACAGCGTGCCTGATGAACTATGGACAGAGGTTTGTGACACTGTACAGGAGACAGGGATCAAGACCATCCCCAAGAAAAAGAAATGAAAAAAAGCAAAATGGTTGTCTGAGAAGGCCTTACAAATAGCTGTGAAAAGAAGAGAAGCAAAAAAGCAAGGAAAAAGGAAAGATATACCCATCTGAATGCAGAGTTCCAAAGAATTGCAAGGAGAGATAAGAAAGCCTTCCTCAGTGATCAATGCAAAGAAATAAAGGAAAAAAAAACAGAATGAGAAAGACTAGAGATCTCTTCAAGAAAATTAGATACCAGGGGAACATTTCATGCAAAGATGGGCACAATAAAGTACAGAAATGGTATGGACCTAACAGAAGCAGAAGGTATTAAGAAGAGGTGGCAAGAATACACAGAAGAACTGTACAAAAAAGATCTTCATGACCCAGATAATTGTTTCACAGGGACAACTGGAGTCGACTCTCCTCCCTTGCATTCTAGAAAGAACCGGGTGTGGGGAAGTGGCGTGAAAGGGTGGCAGGATCCAAAAGAGACCAGATGCTACTTTCCCCAAGACCATCCTGTGTCAGGGTGAGGGTCTGCCGGCCCAAGCTGAGCCTGGATCCAAGTTTTTTCAGGGTCCCACACAGCCGGGGGAAGGAGAGGGTGGGATGGATTGAGAGGGTAGCACTGATATTTATACATGACCGTGTGCATAGCACCAGGAGCTCAGCTCGGGGCTCTGTGATGGCCTGGAGGGGTGCGTGGGGGACGGAGGTTCAACAGGGAGGGGACATGTGCATACACATGTATGGTTCATGTCATTGTTCAGCAGAAAACAACGCAACACTGTAAAGCAATAATTGTTCAGTCGCTCAGTCGTGTCTGACTCTTTGCGACCCCCATGGACTGCAGCACGCCAGGCTTCCCTGTCCATCACCAACCCCCGGAGCTTGCTCAGACTCATGTCTGTTGAGTCCGTGATGCCATCCAACCATAGTCCAGTCAAAAAAAAGAGTAAAATCAGCAAAAAATAAAAAAATAAAAAGTTGAGAGTCCCGGGGGCCAGGGAGAGACGCAGACTCCAAGTTAGTTTGACGAGCATTTTGTTGCAGTTTTGATCAGTGGCAGACAAACCCTCCATCCAGCACTCTTGCCTGAAAAATCCCATGGACGGAGGAGCCTGGTGGGCTGCAGTCCATGGGGTCACTAAGAGTCGGACAGGACCGAACGACTTCACTTTCCCTTTTCACTTTCATGCATTGGAGAAGGAAATGGCAACCCACTCCAGTGTTCTTGCCTGGAGAATCCCAGGAACGGGGGAGCCTGGTGGGCTGTGGTCTGTGGGGTCGCACAGAGTTGGCCATGACTGAAGTGACTTAGCAGCAGGAAATCACTTTTGAGACAGAGAGCGTGGAAATCTGGAAGGTCAGTGTCTAGCCTTGCTCCTAGGTGCACAAGGGGTCATATGTGAGTTTCACCTAACTTGTGTAAGGGGAAGTGAGGTTCTTTGCCATCAGTGGTTTTCCACGATGCAGCAGGTGTGGTGATTGTCTAACCTCCCCTGGTTTCCAAGACCACAGGATTCAGGTGAAGTTCAGCATTGTTGTGAGTGCGTGGATACAACTAAACGTCCACTGGCAGATGAATGAACAANCCCAGGTCTCGCACATTGGCAGGCATGTTCTTTACCACTAGCATCGCCTGGGAAGCGTTTTCCTCTCTGGTGGTGGTACCCTTCCCCGCCCGTGAAATTTTAACACCACAGTTGTTAGGCTGTATGTCTGTTTAAGTGCTTCAGACCTGTGTGTGCTTTATACATAAAAAACCAGGGAGAGCTGTCACCCTGAGAGCCAGTCTCTGCTCCCGAGTGGGGCCCCTTCGGGACCTCCGAGTCCCCGCTGAGGATGCGCCATGTAGCCAGAAGGGGCAGCAGGGAGTGCTCAGAGGGGGCTTCAGACGAGACAGGGTGGAGCCCAGTGCTGCCACCACGCTGCCTGAGTAGTCTCCAGTGTTCCCACCTGGCAGCGTCCACAGAATGTCTGTCTGTCTGCAGCTGTGCCTCATTATTATTTTTGCATATAGACGTACGCACCTTCTAAATGCTTATGTGGTTTGCTGCTGCCGCTGCGGCTGCCAAGTCGCTTCAGTCGTGCCCGACTCGGTGCGACCCTGTAGACGGCAGCCCACCAGGCTCGCCATCCCTGGCATTCTCCAGGCAAGAACACTGCAGGGGGCTGCCATTTCCTTCTCCAGTGCAGGAAAGTGAAAAGTGAAGGTGAAGTCGCTCAGTCGAGTCCGACTCTTAGTGACCCCATGGACTGCAGCCCACCAGGCTCCTCCGTCCATGGGATTTTCCAGGCAAGAGCACTGGAGTGGGGTGCCATTGCCTTCTCCGTATGTGGTTTGCATGTGTATATATATTTAGGT